AATTACATCATTATTTAATTAGAAATAATGTAAGGCTTTGTTAAGAATTAAAATCACTGACACGTAGATAAAACAGGAAACTGGTAAGCAGGCAAACTCCAGTCAGTATCCTCTGTATTCGATCAAATAGTATAAAAAATCAAACATAGACTTTAAAAACTAACGTTAATACGAAACTTTGAAGTAAGACAATAAAATACAGCATATAAAAGTAGTGCTAACCTAAGGAAATAAGCTAAAATATTGCATATTTAAATATTATAATAATTTTTTTTACAACATTATTTAATTAGCAATAATATAAGGCTTTGTTGAGAATTAAAATCACTGACACGTAGATAAAACAGGAAACTGGAAAGCAGGCAAACTCCAGTCAGTATCCTTTTAGACTTTCTTAGACTTAGTCGACTTCTGTGAAAAAAAAGAAGATCTTACATCATCGGAATGAATCACTCAATAGAATATAATGCTTATGTGCCAAATTATTTTGAAGCTAAATAAATATGCATCAATAAATCAACGTTAAAATAGTTTAATATTAAAAATTTCAACAAACACCTAGTTATCATTTTTATTTATTAAATGAAAAATAATTTAGTGACTAATTGTAAATTTTATGATTCCAGACACAAGCACGATTTCCATTTTATCCATCCCAGTTTAAATGGTTTTATTTTAATAAAATTTTGTATACGTGCTTAATGAAGCATAATAAGTAAATGATAAAAATTTCAAAATGATTGCACTGCACCCTGATGTCCTACGCATTTTCCAACGCGCCTAGGCATGCTTCTGATCAGGTGGTCAATGTCCTCCTGTGGTATCTCATTCCAGGCAACCACCAACTCCTCTCGAACTGCTTCTAGAGTCTGAGGAGGACGTTGCAAATTGAGCAATCTCCTACCCATCATATCCCACACGTGCTCAATTGGGGATAAGTCGGGAGATCTTGGTGGCCATGGTAACAATGTGACATCATTATGTTGAAAGAAGTCAATTGTGATTCTTGCAACATGTGGTCGGGCATTATCTTGTTGGAAAGTTGGATCTGCCAGGGTGTCAAGATAGGGTAAAAGATGGGGTTCTAGAACTTCGTGGATATAACGCTGCGCGTTCATGTTACCTCTGATGAAGATTAAAGGTGACCTGGAACCATAAGCTATAGCACCCCAAACCATAACTCCAACAGTGTGATGAACATGTCTTTCAACAAAAAACTGTGGATTCCTCCTTTCACCACGTCGCCTTCTAACCGTGGCACGACCATCGTGCATGCCTAAACAAAATCGAGACTCGTCACTAAAGACAATACTGTTCCATTCCTGATCCCAGAGTGACCGTTGTCTGCACCACTCAAGGCGATTACGTCGGTGTTCTCGAGTTAAAGGGAGGACCCAGTGTGGCCGGTATGAAAACAAGCCAAAACTTCTCATTCGTCGGTAAACACTTCGCATGCCAATAGGTCTTCCGTGTTCTGCAAACCATTCATTTGCAATAGACCTGGTAGTGGAGAAACGGTCCCTTAAGGCCAATAATCTTAGGCGGCGATCTTCACGGTCTGTTGTTCTACGGCGGCGTCCAGTGCCCCTTGCTCTTTGCGTACGGCCTTCTCGAAGCCATACCTGACAACACCTAACCACAGTGTCTACACTTCTTTGCACTCTAACTGCAATTGCCCGAAAAGAAAGTCCAGCTTCCCGAAGTCCCACTATACGGCCCCTATCAAACTCACTAAGTTGACGAAATCGTACAGGTCTCCGTACTCTAGGCATCGTAACCGATCGTAAAGGATGTCAAGAACCAAAATCCGCCAACGTTGATTCTTTACTGCGGTTGAAATATCCATTTTTAGAGCGTTAGTGAATTAAAAAAAAACAGTATAAAGCCGGAATGTTCAACTGATAAGGCTGAAAATTTTTTCACTTGTTATTTACAGTAAGATAAATACATTCACCAACTTTTATTTATATAAAACCATTTAAACTGGGTGTTCGGATTTATATGTTACTTAGTTATATCGACTACCTTTGTCTGGTGGTGTAGTTTTTCAGGTCATTTCTGCAACTTGTATCGTGACATCCTCGGCTTCTAATATTCCTGAATGAGGTTCTGTATTATGCACGCGGCTGAAATTTGATATTTAAATAATCCGGTTTCACAGCGGTGCTCCTTGATAAAAGACGTTACGTTTTACGTTCCGTTTTACACCGCAGGAGATCACCTTTTTCAATCGATCCATGGACCCACTGGGCGGGTAATCGCGAAAAATTTCAAAAATTAGATATTGTGCTTCGATGAAATTTCAACACAAGCTTCGTAGTTTTGAAAATTACATCGGTCAAGTCAGTCAAATAGTCCCATGCAGTTTCTCGCCCACACAATAAAATAAATCGCGTAGGATCTTTTAAAACGATCTGCATGTACTCGCGAAGCTTCGGCAGCGTTTCGAAGACAACCACTGTAACTACGATGTTGCTGTAAGAGTATGTAATTTTTTCAGAACCGATGATTAAAGGTTTTGTTTACCAGCGACTAGATCGAGTACTGATCCACATTGGGCCAGTTCACCTTTGATTTGATCGAGGTGCAGGGCCGGATTAGGTTTTGTACGGTTTGATTGAGGGTAGGATCTTTTAAAACGATCTGCATGTACTCGCGAAGCTTCGGCAGCGTTTCGAAGACACTCACTGTAACTACGATGTTGCTGTAAGAGTATGTAATTTTTTCAGAACCGATGTTTAAAGGTTCTGTTTACCAGCGACTAGATCGAGTACTGATCCACATCGGGCCAGTTCACCTTTGATTTGATCGAGGTGCAGGGCCGGGTTGGGTTTTGTATGGTTTGATTGAGCGTAGGATCTTTTAAAACGATCTGCATGTACTCGCGAAGCTTCGGCAGCGTTTCGAAGACACTCACTGTAACTACGATGTTGCTGTAAGAGTGTGTAATTTTTTCAGAACCGATGATTAAAGGTTTTGTTTACCAGCGACTAGATGGAGTACTGATCCACATCGTGCCAGTTCACCTTTGATTTGATCGAGGTGCAGGGCCGGATTAGGTTTTGTATGGTTTGATTGATTTTGTGAACTCTATCGTTTCGATAATCTCAAGATTTTCGTGTATATAATACTAGAAGAAACTGCTTATGTCGAATTCTATTTGACACCTGTGAATATAGACTAGTAAAAAAAGCAAGTTAAAGTGCTCACCAGCCTGAATGCAATCAGTATAGATAGCTGACGACCGGAAACGTAAGACCCTACGTTACGCGTTATCTATCAGGAAATAATAAATTAGAGCGATTTGAGGCTGTACGCGTAAACGGAGCCCGCAGAGACACCCTGCCGATGATAAAGGCTGAGGTCTTTATCTAAAGTATTTCCGTTTACCCGGCACCGGATTTTTATTGTTTTCTCACCTGATGACATCCAGTCAGTAATCGCGTAAAGTGGATAGGGGCTGGGTTAATCAATCCAGATAACGGCACTTGAAGTTGACAGCCAAAAGGTGGGACTAGCCCGTGTCATCTAGCCGCATTTGAACTAAGTACCATTACAATAAACTACCGTAATTTCACAATATACTGCAGCTACCGATTACTCGTTGGGTTGTCGTCCGTTTAATAAAAGTTGGTGAATGTATTTATCTTACTGTAAATAACAAGTGAAAAAATTGTCAGCCTTATCAGTTGGACATTCCGGTTTTTATACTGCTTTTTTTTAATTCACTAACGCTCTAAAAATGAATATTTCAGCCGCAGTAAAGAATCATGGCGGATTTTGGTTCTTGACATCCTTTACGATCGGTTACGATGCCTAGAGTACGGAGACCTGTACGATTTCGTCAACTTAGTGACTTTGATAGGGGCCGTATAGTGGGACTTCGGGAAGCTGGACTTTCTTTTCAGGCAATTGCAGTTAGAGTGCAAAGTGTAGACACTGTGGTTAGGTGTTGTCAGGCATGGCTTCGAGAAGGCCGTACGCAAAGAGAAAGGGGCACTGGACGCCGCCGTAGAACAACAGACCGTGAAGATCGCCGCCTAAGATTATTGGCCTTAAGGGACCGTTTCTCCACTACCAGGTCCATTGCAAATGAATGGTTTGCAGAACTCGGAAGACCTATTGGCATGCGAAGTGTTTACCGACGAATGAGAAGCTTTGGCTTGTTTTCATACCGGCCACACTGGGTCCTCCCTTTAACTCGAGAACACCGACGTAATCGCCTTGAGTGGTGCAGACAACGGTCACTCTCGGATCAGGAATGGAACAGTATTGTCTTTAGTGACGAGTCTCGATTTTGTTTAGGTATGCACGATGGTCGTGCCAGGGTTAGAAGGCGATGTGGTGAAAGGAGGAATCCACAGTTTTTTGTTGAAAGACATGTTCATCACACTGTTGGAGTTACGGTTTTTGGGTGCTATAGCTTATGGTTCCAGGTCACCTTTAATCTTCATCAGAGGTAACATGAACGCGCAGCGTTATATCCACGAAGTTCTAGAACCCCATCTTTTACCCTATCTTGACACCCTGACAGATCCAACTTTCCAACAAGATAATGCCCGACCACATGTTGCAAGAGTCACAATAGACTTCTTTCAACATAATGATGTCACATTGTTACCATGGCCACCAAGATCTCCCGACTTATCCCCAATTGAGCACGTGTGGGATATGATGGGTAGGAGATTGCTCAATTTGCAACGTCCTCCTCAGACTCTAGAAGCACTTCGAGAGGAGTTCGTGGTTGCCTGGAATGAGATACCACAGGAGGACATTGACCACCTGATCAGAAGCATGCCTAGGCGCGTTGGAGAATGCGTAGCACATCAGGGTGCATCCACACATTATTAAAGGTCAAATGGCTTTAAAACAGTGCAATCATTTTGAAATTCTTATCATTTACTTATTATGCTTCTTTAAGTACTCATACAAAATTTTATTAAAGTAAAACCATTTAAACTGGGTGTTCGGGTTTATATGTCACTTAGTATATGTATATTCATTGATACAAATCTTGAATTTCACACACATTTATCAGTCGCAGTTCATTTTGAGTATATGATTGATCGATTGATTCATACGCATTGTGTTTTTATTTACTTACATATCAAGATCCTGTTGTGCGCTATATATTTCGAACCTATATTAACGGGTATACTACTATCGACTGAAGCCTCAAAATATGCTGCTGTTTATTTTCGTCATTGCATTTTTGCTTGGTGAAGGCTGCACCTCAGCCTTAGGCACAGGTAAGCGCCTTTAAAGACATTGCATTGTTCTCATATATTCGATTCAAATTATCTAACTTTATTTGATCATGACCTCGTTTTTTTCACTACACAATAATATGGATCAGGGCTACACAAATTTTTGCTGGTGATCTCTACGGGTATACGATTTAATTACTAGAAATGGTCACAAACTTTGTGGTGTTTGTAATTACTCATGAGGAGGAAAACTGCAACTCATTTCTTGAAAAGTAGGCACTAGGAGGAAACCATAGGCTTGCGATGAAATTGATAGAGAAAGAGAATGCAAATAAAGTTCATAGGAACAGTACCCATCTTTTCCAATGAAAACCAGATGTTTGTATGGGTTTCTCGTTGACTGCATAGTTTTGTGCAACGTTGTATACCTCCCATATACACAGGGTGTAACACAAACAAGTGGCTATCAAAACTAGACTTTTTGTCAGACCAAATATTCAAACAATTGACAATGGATGATCAATCTCGTTGTTTTGAGAAGTATGTAATAAAATATAGGATGTTCTATTGAGAACAGCCAATTTTTGATATCTTTTCCAGCTTGGGAATGTCCGTTTTTCTATTGTATCAACTCTGTTTATACCCGTTAGCGACCAGGTTCTCTGAGTTGGCCATGGCTCACTCCTAGCCTCAGCTTGAAATAAGCAAGTTGGTATCTACTTCTGATATAACAGGCAGTGCCGTCATTTTAGCCGAATTGCTGTACAAGTTTTACCAAAACTCCAAGTTCTGCGAGTAACCCATCGTGCAGTTTTTCGTAAATTTTTTTCAAAAAATGAGATACTTGTCTTCTCTAGACACCGTTTCGGTGGCACTGACTGATCATCACGCTGTCAGCACTTCATTGGCATGTACAGCGTCGTTCACAAGTTTACCTCCACAACGAGAATGAAATAGTTTTAGAATAGTGCTAAGAATCACTACTTCAATGTACTCCCATTGTTTTGGATACACCCCAAATAGATAATAATATTATGTTCGACAGATTTAGGCCCAAAGATGCCGCTAATCGTGAATGGAAGTCGAACTTACTACTACGGACTGACTCATCAAGTAAGTTTCATTTCCTTTTAGTCGATTCGAATACCTTTATTCAAATACTCATTTCATTATAGTCACGATCAATAAATTGAGCTAGATATATTGAATAAATTAGTAATGACTAGTTATTTGCTTATCCTATCTTTCTCATTAATTCCTTTAATGTGATACCAATATGAAAGCGGTGAACATGGAAATAATGAATCGCTATTTTGCGGATTCGTGATGACGTCACTCTGCTTATTATGTTACTCTCGTGATTCTTATTGTACAAAAATGTTATAAGATCTAATGTTAAACTTTTTCGTGCACGTATTTTTTGTACACGTGCTATCGAATAAGGTTTTGATTTTTAAATGGCATTTGCTTTTGAAGATAATGCATTCTACAGTAGTTTTCTCAAAGTGCCGGAACGTCAAAATCTAGGGTAATAAAGTCGAATTTTCACAGGGCACTGCAGTTCAAGCAGAATCGTTTTGTCGCAAACACAATATGGATCTGTTGAGTATTGAAACTCAAGAGGAGCACCTTTTTCTTCAACAGAGTCTGCTAAGCTACTGTAAGTATAATAAGATAAAACTGGAAACCGTAGCAACGCCTAAGTCGTATGAAAGAATGAAGATGATTCAAATAATCCTAGTTCATGGTTTAATGCTTCTTATACAAATACGGGGTGTCCGCAAAGTTGGGGTTTTCCTTTACACGACGTGTAGATCTTGAAAACATAAGCAATTTTTCTTAGTACCATATACACCAATGTCTTAAGGGAACCGAGATAAAGGGCTCTGCAACATCAAAAATATCTGAATACCGTCCTGTAGCCGCGACATCACCGACTGGTACAAGGTCACTGGTTCAACCCGACGACAGAACTGGGTCGGGGTCAGTGTGTCAGGTCAGTATGCAACCTTCAACCGACGGTTACGGTCACGCGTGTAGAGGTAATGGCGTAGACGAGAATCTCTAGAGACGTGGCTAGAGAAGTGCAAGTATCAAAAACTAAAGTGTGGCAAACGCTGCGTGAAGAGGGGCTGTATCCGTTTCACGTCCAACGTGTACAAGCCCTTCAACCTGACGATTTTCCAGCAAGAGTGCGGTTTTGTGAGTGATTGTTGCATCAACATGACAATAATCCGGACTTTTTGAAGTGCATATTGGTGACAGACGAATCTACGTTCACGCCTAATGGGGTGAATAACTTTCGCAACACTCATGTTTGGTCAGTAGAAAATCCGCACGCAGTCCGTCGGGCACATTTTCAACAAACATTTTCGGTGAATGTTTGGGCTGGCATGGTGAACGGTATGCTCATTGGACCATTTATTCTCCCAAATCGATTGGACGGGATGCAATACCTAGACTTTTTACGCAACATTTTGCCTTCCTTGTTAGAAGATGTGCCATTAAGTGTAAGACAATCAATGTGGTTTCTGCGTCTGCTCGGTAGCGCATCAGCTGATTTCATTTTCTGTTGGAGCGGTATGATTTCGGGCAGAGACGTACTTAGCCCTTCTCGTCAACTGGAGAGTGAGTACTTTTTCCTTTATTTTTTTTTACTTGGTCGCCCTCGTTTCACTACACATTACCTTTGTTATTTCAAGGGTAGTTGTTTCTGAAAAGGAAAACCCCAACTTTTCGGACACCTGTATACTCTTAAAACCCCGAGGCCTCTCAATATCGTTATTGAACCTGCCGTTTTTATAGAATCTAGGATCTCTTCGGAAAACCCCAAAGCACCTGAGAAATACAAATTTTATAGGAAAATATGCAAACATCTAACCGGTACAACTGTGCTTGCGAGCAGTCTTGGAGTTAACCTTAAGTTTATGTAAGAAATATGTAACGTAAACATATACACGAAAGCGTAAATAATGTTTACAGATCCACAACAGGTGCTTCTCGACAATATATTTAACTGTTAACTAGACATTTTCTCATTCAATTTATTACGCGTATAGTCTAATCAATTGATATTCGGAAGGATTGTTTCCTGAACAGTTCTAAGAAATTTTGAAAATGTGCATGTACTTGTCTTTTCGCTGATTTTTGATCTGAATATACTTTTCAGTGGATCTGAACACTGCACAGCAGACGTTTATATGGACATCAGGCAAAAGGGTCGATGGTGACAGGTGGATATGGGAAGCTACAGGAAGACCGGTCCACTATAAAAACTGGTGGGCAGAACAACCGGACAATGACGGAGGGATTGAGAACTGCTTGGAATTGTGGTACAAACCCGAATTTCCCGGGCAAATTAAGTGGAACGACATTTATTGTAACAATACATCGAGATACTTTATTTGTGAATATAATAACAAGGATGCTAATATAGATAATGTATATTGATTCATTCATAAACTAATGGATCTCCATATTTCTTTCTGTTTGTATTCTGTCAATCTTTCTTTTATATTTATTTGTATACTGTTAGAATCTGGATAAACTATAGTAGATTTTAAAGGAATTCTAAGAACGTGAACGCTTTTAGTTTTTTTTTACAGAAATTCAAAATTGAGACTTACATGTAACCCTTTGTGAGTTTATAAATAAAAAACTACATGCTGCTGGCAAGTAATGTTGATTTTGTAAGATTGGTACTCATTAAGGTAAATTAATCATTTGGTGGACATACCCTTTTTTATAACACTTTGTGTATTACATTTTGGAGCTTTTACTAAAAAAATAAAAAAATCTACATAACTAATTCCGTTGGGTTTCAATTTGGCAAACGATGCACCAAACACCCTCTATGTAATAGTTACGACATTGTTTTGGAACTGCGGCTTATAAATGAATATTATTCATATTTTTAGCTTGAACTTAAGATAGTCAAGTGCGTTATTTCGGGTTAAGTGACTAATCTTTCACTTACACTTAAAGCAAGTATCAGTTTTTGCCGAAATATTATATTGTTCGAGGTTGTGAAAATTCAAATGTCTTCCTTTGAAACGACAAACCATGCATTGAATTGATAGAATGGAACTGTCTGTTTATGATTGTACGGGTGCGATTGCATCGCGTCACGTCATCGTCTCCTTTCCATGCACTGTGACAACACGTAATACGTACACCGACATAAGATATGAAAAATCGCACACAGGAGGCGCGCACGAGCATCCACTTTCATTTCTACGTTGAGATGAAAACCTTTATTTAAGGAGATACGGGCCGTGTGCTTTTATGCAGCCGCGTAACATGTATTGCATAACACATACCGGCTCAGGCTTGTTTATTAAAACAAACAAAACGTGAATGCTGGAAAGGCGTTTTCCATTCTCTCACACAGAGAGCTTTGCTAGAACACCACACTTCCATTCATTGGGAAAGTAATCTCGGTCGTCTCAGATGTACGCTCCTTTGTCGCCAAATCCAAGTACTCATTTTTCTTGAAATATATAAATATAGGATGGGACGTTCAATTATACAGCTGCTCCTATTCCGAAGGTAATATCACTTCAGTATACATAAAAGTATAAATTAATTGTTATTAATTAGGGTCAAGTGGTGCAAAAACGAGACGATTTTTAAATCTTTCAATTTTTTGTCAACAAAAAACCGGACTTTAAGGCTTTGTTATATTGCCCTGTATATAGAAAGCCATGTTAAAAAAGTTCATAATATTCATAATGAAGGGCGTTTTTGTTTAAAAACCGTGTCTCGTTTTTAAACACTATTTAGGCTAAAAATGAGACAGTGAAAGATTAAAAACAAGACACCGTATTTTCTGGCCTTTTAGTCATTTTGCATCAGTGTGGTAAAATATGAGACCCTGGAGAATAAAAACGAGACACACTGCAAGGGTTTTAAAGCGTTTAGTAAGTCAAATAACATAGCTAGGTTTTCGTTGACCAATAAAAACAGACTAAATTACAGCAGTATTATGTTGGATGATAATTATTCTGTTCAGGAAGTGTCTCAAACTAAATAGCTTGGAATCATTATTGACCAACATTTAAAGTGGCAGCCGCATGTTGATTATGTATCGAGTAGAGTTAGAAAATTAATTCATAAATTTTATCTACTTTCTCGATAAAAAAATTTAATAACGGTTTATAAAGCATTTATTGAATCTATAATTAGATATGGGATATTAGTATGGGGGGATTGTATAATAATGCTCTACATAAACTCATTATTATTCAGAAATACAGGGTGGTCCATAAGTCCTTTGAAATTTCAAATTTGAATAAAATTTAACGGGTGAGCGTGAGCGGCGCGGGCGAGGTGGGGGCAGTATCTTCAGTGTCTGGGAATTCAGTCGCCATGGAGTGTTTCACTGGAGCGGATCGTGCTTTTTGTGTGCGCGCGTTTTATCAAAATAATGATTCGGCAACCATTGCGCGGCGTAAATATCGAGAATACCACAATTTACACAAATTTACAAAGTGTCCAACAGCTCAAACGATTAAGAACTGGGTTGCTAAGTTCGAAGAGACTGGTTCGACGTTAGATAAACAGCGGTGGGGTCGACCAATGACAACTCGTATTGAAGAAAACATCAACATTGTGGCACAGTCTGTTCGTCAAAATCATACCCAGTCTAGTCGTAAGCGTTCCAGTGCACTAAACGTACCCAGAACATCTTTACAGCGGATTTTAAGGAAAGATTTACGTCTGCACGCTTACAAAATTCAGTTAGTGCAGGAATTAAAAGATAATGACGCTATTCAGAGACTAAACTTTGCGAATGAAATGTTGAATCGATTTTCTTCGCTCAATAATGTGTTGTTCTCGGACGAGGCTCACTTCCATTTAAACGGGCATGTAAATAAACAAAATTGCCGTTATTGGAGCCCCGAAAATCCAAGGCGTAAGCATCAGAAGCCCTTACACAGCCCTAAAGTTACAGTTTGGGCTGCTATGTCAGCGCATGGCATCGTAGGCCCTTATTTTTTTGAGGACGACAGAGGTCGCGCATTAACTGTTACTTCGGAGCGGTATGTAGCAATGATAGAAGAGTTTTTGACACCAGCGTTGCAGAATTTTCCAGGCTATAATACGCAGACCTGGTTTCAACAGGACGGAGCAACTGCCCACAACTCCAACACTTCTATGCCCGTCGTCTGTCAACTTTTTCCCAGCAAAGTAATTTCTCGAAGAGGAGACATTTCCTGGCCACCACGTAGTCCAGATTTGACCCCAATGGACTTCTTTTTATCGGGCTACCTCAAGAGTAAAGTGTACGACACCACTCCGCGATCAGTTGATGTCCTGAAAGAAAATATCCGAAGAGAAATGGCAAGCATTACAGTGTTGACTTGCCGCGCAGTCATCGACAATTTTAGACGTCGTTTATATGAGTGCCGTGATCGTAATGGATTGCATTTAGACGATGTGATTTTTAAAACATAATTCCCATTCAATAAAGATGATAACAAAATATAATAATTCTTCATAATGTAACTAGTTTGGTTTTATTCCTTTTTTTTCAGCTCAAAGGACTTATGGGCCACCCTGTATATTATTAAAATTATTTTTAAGAAAGATAAAAGATTCCCCACTAATAAACTTCTTACAAAGGATGTGTGTACTATTAGATCCTTGTACGTGATGACAGTATCTACTTTTATTTATAGAAATGAAAAACTACAGAAACAAGTAAGTCATAACTACTGTACTCGCGCTAATGTGGGCAGGCAAATAGAAATTCCCAAGAATAACAATAACCTAAACTTAAGATACATAACGTATATAGGACCAAAGATATATAACATTCTGCCAGAACACTTGAAAAAGTTGAAAAATATTAAAACATTTAGCACCAGCTGCAGAGAATATATTTTTGAGAATACTGCACAATTTGAAAGGTTTTTCTAATGACTTTTTGTATCATAGTATGATCGAACTATTGCTCGGGATATTGAGGTTGATTATTGTTTTTTTTTATTGTATTTTATAATCCAGTAAATAGCATTTTCTTTTCTTTTGTCCGGATGATGAAAGCACATACAGGTGGTTTGAACCATCTAGGTGCATCTTTCTGACATCAGGATGTCCTTGACGAAGAGGAATTATATTGTTGTGTTATACATTTATGTGTATTTATAATTTTTTGTATATGGTCTTTGTTGGATATTATTGTATTAAAAGTAAAATAAGTAAATAAATAAAATTAAATAAAATAAATAAAAATAATAAATATAAAATAAAATAAAATAAATAAAATAAAAAAAATAAAATTAAAATCGATAAAACGAATAAAATGAATAAAATAAAATAAAATAAATAAAATAAATAAAAAATAAATAAAATAATAAATAAATAAAATAAATAAAAATAAATAAAATAAATAAAATAAATAAAATAAATAAAATAAATAATAATAAATATAAATAAATAAAATAACTAAAATACATAAAATAACTAAATAAATAAAATAAATAAAATAAATAAAATAAATAAAATAATAAAATTAAATAAAATAAATAAACTAAATACAATAAATAAAATAAATCCAATAAATTAAAATAAATCAATAAATAAAATAAATAAAAATAAATAAAATAAATAAAATAAATAAATAAATAAAATAATAAAATAAATAAAATAAATAAAATAAATAAAATAAATAAAATAAATAAAATAAATAAAATAAATAAAATAAATAAAATAAATAAAATAATAAATAAATAAAATAAATAAAATAAATAAAATAAATAAAATAAAATAAATAAATCATCATATCTACAAATTTACGTTGATGATACCCAAATAATTCATAATTTCAATCCCAGCTATGACACAAATCAACAGCGACCTGGAGTCTATATACCATTAATCAAAAATACATAAAATTTAAGAGAGGGACACCAAAAACACGGCAATACTATAATAGGAGCTTCAACACATTATTAACATCAAGATGGGATATATCAGCTACTTTGTGAAGTTTTAATCAAAATTTTAATCACTTTCTATTTATCAGTAGGCCTAAAACTTGTAAAAATATGCTCAAACTTACGGCGCTCCTGGTCGGTGTTGCATTTTCTATGGCATTTATTATATAAGACCTTGAGCTATTCGTTTGTGGTAATTCATTTTACCTGGCCTATAACATTATATGTAGGTTTAATTTTCTGCGTCTCTCGTCTGTTCCGCATTGTTGCTATCGTCGAAATTAAAGAATCGTTTGATATCAACGCCGAATTTCGTAACTGCATTACATACGAAATCAACCGGCCGCAAGTATCGTCCGGTCTGTGGCAAGGAAAGTTGCGTTCATTATTCTCGGAAGCTACTTATCTTTATGAGAAAGTTTTTTGTCTAGACAGGCGGAAATATCTAACGGTAAAAGATGGGATAAACTTTGGTGTACAATGAGGATATTTGTCGTTTTGCTTCGTACAGTAACGCTACATTAATCTTTAATACGTGTGCTGGAAAACGGTACATTCGCTCACGAATAATACAAGCTAAAGGAGCCGGAGAAAATACTAAGATCAGGACATCTTAATGACCCGTCGTCCGTCTAGGAGTATTTTTCGAGTCGCGTGCGTTTTTAACGGAGCTAAAAAACGTATTGCCAACATTTTCCTCAAAGCCGCTATGAAATCCTCTAAAATCCTCAAAAAAAAAACAAACTAAAATAGCCGATTGTAGAAAGAATGGAATCAATTCATACAATTTCTCTTTACATATTTTATTGCTTAGTTAAATAAACAATAAAATTAAATTTTTACAATTCTAGTATAC